GTAATGCGCTCCATTACTTCCAGGTCGCCACAGAGCTCAACCCAAAAGTGCTCAACCTGAAGCGTATTTATCCCAAGGTATGACTGTATGGTGACAATGTCTACATTACGATTTTAAACCTTGTCGCTCTTTGCCACCCAGCCCCACTATTTAAGCAAAATGGGAGGAGTGAATTTTTCAAGACTGAATCTTCCTTATAAAGAGTTATGAAATCACACTCTAGCAAAGAGTTTCTTCCCTTGATAAGCATAACCAAATGAAGTTTGTCAGGGCTTTTGTTTAATGTTGACTAAGCAGCTAGACTTCATGCTCCTGCTGAAATGGACGGTAAGCTTATGCCATAATAAATATGTTGTAGGCACAATGCAGTCCACAAAAGCATATGCCATCATAACTGGGTTGGTCCTTAATGTGCCACAACTTGTCGTTGCTTCAGGACAGCCTCCATCAGCTGAGACAAAGATATTGCTCATAATATCTGTTTAATAGGCCTCTTGACATGCATGCATTTCCTTTGGCTGCCTATTTTATGTTTCTTTTGACACACATAAACTTACCTTACGTTCTCCTGAATTAACCTTTCCTTTAACAGGTGGGTGGGTTGGTGTCTTTGAGCTGTACAGGGCTTCTTCCCCACAACCAAATATGTATACGCTTGGCAAGGGTGCCAACTTGAATAAAATACGGGGGGGGGCGGTAAGCCATTCCCCACGTAATTGATCACATGGCGCTGCACACATGCACCATTTGAAAGGCAATGGCCATCAACTTTGGGCGGTGGCCCCCTCAAATGCTTTATTAGAGGAGGAGCTGAACAGACTTCAGCCCCTAGGAGTTGGCTTCTATGACGGTTGGTACAGAGGACAAGGGAATATAGGAACAGAAGAAGAGCCTGCTGGATCAGGCCAGTGGCCCATCTAGTCCAGCATCCTGTGGTTGAACTATGCTCCGCATGAAGCATAGTTGAACTATGCTCCCATGGTTGAACTATGCTCCGCATGAAGAACTGCTTCATCTTTCCTGAATCGTCCCAACAGAAAGCTACCTTATAGCTTCCATCTAGGTCAGTATTGCCCATGTTGATTGCCAGTGATTCTTCAGGGTTTCAGGAAAGGGTCCAGCTGTATCTGGAGATGCTGGGGATTTTTTTTATTAAATATAATTTTTATTAAATTTTCTGTTTTACAATTTAAAGTACTCATTTTTACATCCTTAAAATATCAATGACTTCCCTTCTTCTTTTTCCATAGTTCATTTTGTATATCATAAATCCCTGCGTATTTTACAAAAACTAAACCATTCAGTATTCCATTATTGTATCCATCAAAACTTGTTTACACTGTTGAATTTATTTTAATGCTGCCAGCATTTTCAGCTGTACACAGTTATTTCCTATATATTCAATTAACGTTTTCCAGTCTTCTCTAAATGTATGTTCTTCTTGTTCACTTATTCTATATGTTAAGTCTGCAAGCTGCGCATATTCTGTCAATTTAAGTTGCCATTCTTCTTTGGTTGGGACCTCGCTCATTTTCCTTTTTTGGGCTAACAAAACATGGGTCCCAGTAGTGGCATACATAAATAACCTTTTTTGATGCCTGGGAATTTCGGTCTGAATTATCCACAACAGAAAGGACTCTGGGGTGTGTGTGGTTTTTTTTTGGGGGGGGGGGGAGTACTTTGGAACATTTTTCTCAATTCATTATGTATCATTTCCCAATACTCTTTTACCCTTTTACAAGTCCACCACAGATGCTGGAGATTCAACCTGGGACTTCCCTAGTGCAAAGCAGAAGTTCTGCAGTGACCTACAGTGCTTCCCAGTAACGCAATGGCTTAGAGAAGGACGCACAAAGCTGTATAATCTAAGCCCCTCCTGACATACTGTGGGTCCCTAAATGCATTCTGTCTAGCTTCTGTAAAAAGAAATGGGCTGTGTGGCAGCTACTGGAGTAACGTTAGAGTCAAATCTATTTCAGCTAGTTTTGTTCACATCAAAGGTGGCCTCAGAGCTGAGAGTGGTAAACGTGCAAGATCAGCCTTGCCAATCTCTGGTGTGACAAAACGTCTAGAAAGCGAAAATGTCTAAAGTTTGCTTTGACTTATCCTGTTTAGCGCGGAAGATATTTCTTTCCAGCTAGTTTGGTACGTGACAATCGACTAAAGGAAGCGTGGAAAACCCGATTAAGGCAAGCGTGCTAGCCTGGTTACCTTTTTAAGGCAGATCAATAAAAAATGTTTGGTATTCCTTCCCAGCTGCATCTTTGATTGTGGAGACATGAAAAGAAGACATATATCTCTATACGGCGCCTGGCAGATCGCCTTTGTTCCTGGTTGCTGTGAAATTATGAAAAGCAAATACAGATCTCCTTTTGGTGGTTTCCATTTAAATCTTCTTTCCTTGAAGTTGCATAGTTAAATACTGATTGCAGAAAAGGAAGGAATATAAAAAGTGGATTATGTGGAGAAATATTGCTTTAAAAGTGAGGGGGAGTCCTCGGAGGGTATGTTGGGATGTTCGCCTTTGAGCACCTAAAGCAGCTCTTTGCAAATAACGCTGCACTTGTCAAGAGTCGTTTTAACCACAAATGATTGCTGTGCCTTGAAATATGTTACATTATCTAGGAGAAATGCAATCAGAGGCTTGCAGTTGGGAAACACTTCTTGCCCCCCCAATCCATTGCATTCTTGCGCAATATTCCAGCTTGTATACGGCGTCTTGCATCTCCATCTCTGCCCTGTGGCCGCAAATAAGCTTTGACAGCATGCCTGCAAATCAGGTGGTAATAATAACACTCCCATGAAATAATGAGTAGGATTTTTTAAAAATGAAAACGACGCTTGTGCAAAAGCCCAAAGAATTCAAAGCAGTTTTATTGCCTTGGAAAGACATAGAACCAAATGTGTAGTTTTCCCCATTCAGGAGAAAAAAAGGAAAAAGGGAAGGCTCTTGTCGAGCAATTTATGAGCATTCCACTTCTTAGGGGCAACAGAGACCTACATTGTAGCCCACACATCGGCTCACTGAGGGAGGCTGTCATAAGAAGCAGAACGGACTAGAATGAGCCACAACATTCCTCCTCCAGGTTTCCAGGCCACATATTCTGCAAGGAGGCTCCATTTTGGGTTTTTAATGCAAGTATTTAACATTTGGAAACATTAGGTAGTAACTGTTCCGACTTAAAACAATATCTATCCAGTTTCCCCACTGACATTATGGTTTCCTGAACAGTTATGGGCTCAGAGCCGACCCTACTATTAGGTTGTGAGGTAACAACCTGAGGCAACCAATTTTGGGGTGTCGTGAAAGGGCAGCAAAATGTTAGCTCCTTTATTTGTTTAGTTATTATTATTAATTAATTTGTGATAGCGGAAAGATTATAATGGAGCCAAAGTATCATTATCATTAATATATTAATACCAACGTTCTGACGCCGTTATAATGGCTGTGTTTAGTTTTATGTTGCAGCCCCCCTGGGGTGTATGTGCCTTAAGAATAAAAGTTGTTTCTGAATGTTGCCAGCAGATGAGCAAATAGTTCAAAATCTTGGACCCTTGCTTCATAAACGGAATTCCCAGGGCAAGATTTTCCTAACTGGTAGCATTTGGAACCTTTCTGTTAAGTGCCTGTGATTGTCACCTCTGCCTAGGTTCTCGCTGTCTAGCATTTTCTTATTTGCATATTCTAATCTATTTAATTATATGCACATTTATAATTACCTATGCGTGGTGGTGGGGGTTCATATGTGTGGGGGCTCTTCTGCTAAGCCTGTTCAAAGCTCATCAGAAGGCAACACAAAGTACTGCTGTGGATGTTTTTTTCCCACTTGACTTTGGAGAGCAATTCATATCTGCAGCATAACCCCTAAGACTGCAGATCATTGTAACTATTTAAATATTAAAATAATATGCAGCATGGGCTTTTACGATGGACAACCAGTAGACAACCAGAATGCCATATTCATGTTGGTCTGAAAACATCTGGGAGCTATTCTCTAGAAATAGGTGGCATGGCCGTATGTTTCTTTTCCAGTATTTTGCTGCTATAATGTTCTAAACTTTGGCTTCTGTAAGAAGCTCACTAGTAGCTTGGGGTTTAGCCAACATGTGGTAGCCTTTTATTTTCAAGAGATGAAGCCATGCCTTTAGTGTTCTACTCCTGGAGTTGTAGAATCACATTAGAAAATCTGCACAGAGCATCTGTGAAGCAATGGCGGCTTTCAGATGCAACGCTAAACCATGGTTTGTCATTACACAACTGCAATAATGAACCCCAGGGTCGAACACTTTGTGCTTTTCTTGTATGGTTTCTAGCTTTGTAATGTTGCAAGCCGCTTAGGTATGTTTTGTGATTTAGCAGTATGCAAGTACTTTGATAAAGAAGTAATAAATATAAACACTTCCTCTCCCCTTCATCCTTCACACAAGGAGCTCAGAGCTTGTGACCCTTCACAAGTTGGGCTATAATTACCATTGCACCAGCCAGCATGGCCAATGGTCAGGGATGATGGGAGCTGGAGTCCGGGAGCATTTGGAGGGCAATAGGTTCACCACCTCTGCTTTACATGCTAGGAAGGAAACAGTAAAGATTCCAGTTATGGTTTGTAAGAAATCACCATTTCCCATGTTCAGATGAACCCGGAAACTGTACTTAGTTACAAACTACAGAAGCTTTAAATGACCTCCCCTTGCTTGAGAGAGAGGGAGAATGGGAGCTCAAGACTTGCTGCTGCACTAAACCATGGTTTATATTCTATCCAAATGTAGCCATCATCTGTTGTTGGGAACTAAATACTGGAAATCGGAAAACTGTTGGGGAAATTATGATGGGCGATACCCAACTAAGTCATACTCAGAGTGGATCCATTGAAATCAATTGACTGAGTCATACTCAGCACCCATTGATTCACAGTGAAAGTCAGTCAGTCTCAGAATCATACATTTGGAAGGGACTCAGAGGCTAGTCCAACCCCCTGCCATGCAAGAATCCTGCCCACAGCTATCCTTGGGTGGGCTCAAACCACCAACCTCTGGTCAACAGCCAGATGCAATGACCCATTGCGCCACCTGACACGTTTGTTTCAGTAGAAATGATCCAGTTTAGAAAACGTTTTGCTCAGTGCTAGTTCAGCAGACCCAGTAACCGACTACAGTGTGTGCATGCTTGTGCATGACGTCAAGTTATTCCTCACTTAACACTTTCCTCCCTCCCCTGCATAAAGTGGCAAGGATTTTGGAGATTAGGTGTGATGGCCTGGGATTCAGACTCGGATGCTGAACCTGAGGGATCCCAGCCTGCACAGGAGTCCCCGCCTCCAGAACCAGCTGAGCCGGGGCTGAGGCCTGAGCCTGAAGGGTCCTCACCTGTGCTGGATCCTCAGGTGCAGGCATCAGCTGAGTCTGCTCTGGCTCCTGAGGTGATGGAGGACCCATGGCCTGCAGGTGCTCCACTCTCAGCCCCATCAGAGGAAGCTGAGGTTGCCTCTGGGTCCTCCAGCCTCTCCTGAGCTGCAGAGGCTCAGGGCAGAGAGGCGGAGGGAACTAAGTTCCCGCAGGAGGAGTGCTCGCCTCCAGGCCAGGAGAGGCGAGTCACCAGAGGATCGGGGCCACCCTATGCCTGGGGCAAATAAAAGCCAGTCAGCCCCAGTCCCAGGTTGCGGGAGCAACATTGTTGGTAGCCTGTTCCTGCCTGCACCCTGTCCTGCTTTCCTGCCTGAGCTCCTGACCCGCCTTGGCTCCCTGCTTGCAAGCCTGTTCCTGACTTTACCCGGCTCCCTGCCCTGCGCCCAGCTTCAGCTACTACGGACTGCCTCCACGTTACACCTTTGACCATGGACCGGACTTGGACCTCACCTCTCAGGTAACCCGTTGGACCAGCACACTAGGCCACATGTGTGCACATTTCCCTTCCATGCTTCTGTGTCATGTTCCCCCTCAGGGGTGAAGGAAGGGTGCTGGCGGTCTGCCCTGGGTGTCATCACAGGCTGTTGGGGGAAGGAGCAGAGCTACGTCACCTTGCCGCCGGCCTTCCCCCCTTCCCCCTTCATTTTGACAGCTCGGGGGAGGCTTGGGAGTCACGGGCGGCCAGCGTGCCATAGCCCCCTGCTCCCGGGCTGCTTCCTGGGGGGGGGAGAGCCTCCCCCAATCTGTCAAAAGGAAGAGGGAAGTGAGGAAGGCTGCTGGCAAAGCGGTATGGCTCCCCCCCCCCCGCCCAGGAAGCAGCCTGCCATGGGTGGCTCACTCCAGCCCCCATGGGCGTCTTGCCCCCTGGGACGCTCGCCCCGCCCCTATGGCCCCACCCTGGGTGCACAGCATGTGCGCCGCTCCGGGTGCTGGAGCAGCTAGCTCCACCTCTGCCCCCCCAAAAAAAACCATAGTGGTGCACACTCCCAAGGATCCATCTGTCTTCTACCACATGCATACCATCACCAGTCATAAAATTGCCTGGACCTAGCTCTAAGGCGGCTGGTATGCGGGTGGCGCTGTGGGTTAAACCACAGAGCCTAGGACTTGCCGATCAGAAGGTCAGTGGTTCGAATCCCCGTGAAGGAGTGAGCTCCCGTTGCTCGGTCCCTGCTCCTGCCAACCTAGCAGTTTGAAAGCACGTCAAAGTGCAAGTAGATAAATAAGTACCGCTCCGGCGGGAAGGTAAACGGCGTTTCCTCTGGTTCACCAGAAGTGGCTTAGTCATGCTGGCCACATGACCCGGAAGCTGTATGCCGGCTCCCTTGGCCAGTAAAGTGAGATGAGCGCTGCAACCCCAGAGTCGGTCACGACTGGACCTAATGGTGAGGGGTCCCTTTACCTTTACCTTTTAGCTCTAAGGCAAGTTATGTTACATACATGGGTGCCAGTGGAACCCTACTGTGCTACACATTGGTGCTACACATTGATAAGCAATTGTAATTAGAGTTGGAAGGATCTGTTAGCTTTGGTGCTCTTGGTTTCTCGTTTCTTCAGTCTTAATTTCAATTCTCCCCATTTCCGCAATGATTTGCAATCTGCAAATCTGTATGCAGTTTTGACTGATGTGCCTATTGTTGTTGCTTTTTGCAAGCAACATCTCCTAGTACAGTGCATTTTTGTACACTCTTTTCACTGATAGATTCATTTCAATGCACTCTTTTATCTAATATATTCATTTCCTTTAAACCCCAGTTGGAAAACTGCACTGCAAAATTCAGATAAGTGCAAATTTCAAAGGATGATTGCGTTTCAGTTTCCGTGCTGTTTCAGAAATTTGATAGATTTTAGTGCACTTCCACATGGCTGTTAATGAGTGAGGGAAAAGGCCCCAAATGATATTCCAACCAGTATATGGTCAACTGGAATTGATGAATCTGCCTACTCTTTCTAAAGTCAGAATAGCCACCGGCGAAGTCTTTTTTCCCCATCTGAGAGAGGAATCAGCCCTGCCCCAGCCTAGCCCTAAACACTGAAGCAGAGCTATATCTCCATCTATCTTTCAGATTAGCGCTTTGTTACACTTTGAAGAGAAGGCCTTTCACAAAAGCTCAGGCATTTCGAAGCTTAGATACGGTCAGTGTGCCTGCGCTCGGCTGCCCTGTAGACTATTTGTTAATGAAGACCTTGGATTACTGAGCCTATTCTCGAGCCAAAATTTGCACTTTAAAGTGTGGCTTGAGGAGCGTATAAAAGCGCTGGATTCCATTATTGCAAAATGTATCAGAAAAGTGTTGAGCTAGGTAATTACCTTAATCCAACTGAAATAGTTGGTCACAGTGTACATTAGATGAGCATCCAGACTTGAACAAGCAGTCAACCTGAACAAAATAAGCTCAGCCATGGAGGGGCAGATTTCTTAATTAGTTCTCAGTGGCGAGAACAGTTTAATGTTTCCCAAAGTCGAGTGCAAATTCTACAAGTGACACAATTCAAGAGGGCTCTGCCAGGTTGAATTAAACCCGGCCTGGTCCCCCACTGTCACATGCAGAGTCCAAAGCTAACTTCATTTATTCCTCACTGTTTGCGTTCCAGCGAACATCCATAGACTGAACCATAATAAAAGAGAGAGAGCGAGAGAGAGAACAGTATGATTAACTTCAATAATACGAAGCCCTTGCTCTCAGAATACTCGTTCGCCTCTCATTTTCACAAAGCAAGTCATCGTATCGCCTCGTCGGTGGAGCCATATATTGCAGTACAGTCTAATTGGTTACACTGGCATGTACGCCATTAATAAAATGAGGAAGCTCAGTGGTCAGTTAGTGATTGTTTTCTTTCTCGTGTTATTGTTTCAAGGTTAGCAAATCTCTTTGGTTTCGTGTTGCTAAATATTTATTAGTCACAGCGGGAAGTGTTCTGCGTAGGATGTACTCGAGCTAAACAACTAAACTTCAATAAAATCAAGCAAAGTCAACGGAGGGGTTGGGAGGGGTTTCCGTGACACAGGGCCACTGAATGCAAAGAAGGCTCTGAAGATGTGCGTCGTAATCCACTTAAAAGTCACACCAGTTCATTATTTAATAACATCATAAAACTGAAAGAGACCACAAGGGCTGCTGCTTTTCCTTATATCATATGTACGATCATTTTCACATTCAGTCCCAGTGTTTCCCCCCTTCCCCCTTAATAATATGTAGTGGAACTTTTGTAGTAACTTCCTGTCCTATCCAGTGACTTCTGGTTGACTCCCCCACCCCGCCCAATATTGTTCTTTCAATATAGAAGAAGAGGAGGAGTTTGGATTTTATATCCCGCTTTATCACTACCCAAAGGAGTCTCAAAGCAGCTAACAATCTCCTTTCCCTCCCCCCCCCACAACAAACACTCTGTGAGGTGAGCGGGGCTGAGAGACTTCAGAGAAGTGTGACTAGCCCAAGGTCACCCAGCAGCTGCATGTGGAGGAGCGGAGACGCGAACCCGGTTCACCAGGTTACGAGTCTACCACTCTTAACCACTACACCATACACCAATATCCAGATTTGTGGCCTCCGTTTGTGGTCAAATTGATATATATGCTCTTTAGACTGTGGTATACCACTTTGTTGAGGGTTGCATCTAAAAGAAAGAAAATGTAAGAGGCTCATCTAGTCCATCATAGGAGTCATCTCCTAGGGGCCAGGTCCCTTCGCCCCCCCAATAAAATATTTGAGGGGGCTGCCCCTCCAAGTTGAGGGACATTGCCATTCAAATGGTGTGCGTGTGCCGCATCTTGTGATTGATTATGTCAGGTGGGGTTTAGCTGCCCCCCAATATTTTATTCAAGTTGGTACCCCTATAGTCCAGCATTCCCTTCTCATGGTTTAAATGCCCATTGGAAGCCCACAACCACATCCTGAGTGCAACGGCACACTCCCCACCTGTAATTCCTAACAACTAGTATTCTGAGGTGGACTGAGTCCAACAGTGGAGGTAGAACATAGCCGCTGTGACAGATAGGGATTGATACTGGCAAAATTCTTCATTTTTCAATTGCCTGGAATGGATATACTTTTAGAACCACTTAAAAAAATATATTTGAGGGGGAAAGAGAAGTGATCTGGGGTGGTAGTCGTACAAACACCTAATACACACGTGTGTGTGTGTGTGTGTGTGTGTGTTTATATAGAATCACTTGCTTTAAAATCTTCCTGAATGTGGAAAACTAACACTTAAGTGAGAGGAATGCTTGCAAAATGTACCTATACTGGACAGAGTGATCAGGCAAGAAATCTATGTGGACAATATTACGTTCAGCTGAATGGGGTCTACCAAGTAGAAAAAGCTGACATGTAATGTATATCCCTAAAGAAAAGCATATTCTCTTGAAAGCACAGGGTCCGGGAGAATGTTCTTTTGTAGCCAAAAATACCGTAACAAGTGGATTACTATGCTTATTTGCATTGGTATAGAACACATGGTATTGAAAACTGGTTGTAGGACTTAAATTTGTTAGGTCCGAATTGCAAGGTAGGCTAGATTATTCTTAATAAACTTATTTTTTTTTTAAAAAAAATAACATTCAATCAGGGCAAAGAGAGCAGCAAGGTATTTCCCGCCCACTACTTTCTTCACGGGAGACTGACCAACTGAGTAGCAGGGAGATCTTAGGGACATTCAAATGACC